TTTGCTGCTCTCTTTCTACTTGTTCCAGTTGTAGGGTTAATGTTTTGATTATGACTCTTTCTTCTTTTTGGATGTGTGTATTTATTGCTATAAACTGACCTCTGAGCGCTGCTTTTGCTGTGTCCCAAAGGTTCTGGTGTTTTCATTCTCATTTGATTCTACAAATTTCTTTATTCCATCCTTCATTTCTTCTATAACCCAGTAGTTTTTGAGCCAGGTATTGTTCAGTTTCCATGTGTTTGATTTTTTTTCCTTGCTTTTTGTGTTGTTGATTTCTACTTTTATGGCTTTATGGTCAGAAAAGATGTTTGGTAATATTTCGATTCTTTGGATGTTTTAAGGTTTGCTTTATGGCCTGATATGTGGTCTATTCTGGAGAATGTTCCATGTGCATTGGAGAAGAGAGTATACTTGGCTGCTGTTGGGTGGAGTGTTCTGTATATGTCTGTGAGATCAGGTTGGTTGATTGTAGCATTTAGCCCTTCTGTGTCTTTGTTGAGCTTCTTTCTGGATGTTCTGTCCTTTACCAAAAGTGGTGTGTTGAAATCTCCTACTACTATTGTGGAGCTGTCTGTCTCTCTTTTCAGTGCTGTTGGAGTTTGTTTTGTGTATTTTGGAGCCCTGTCATTGGGTGTGTAAATATTTATTATAGTTATGTCCTCCTGGTGTATTGACCGTTTACTCATTATATAGTGTCCTTCTTTATCCTTTGTGGTAGATTTTACTTTAAAGTCTGTTTTGTCAGAGATTAATATTGCTATTCCTGCTCTTTTTTGAGTGTTGTTTGCTTGATATATGTTTTTCTATCCTTTGAGTTTTAGTTTGTTTGTGTCTTTAAGTCTAAGATGTGTCTCTTGTAGGCAGCGTATAGATGGATCGTCTTTTTTTATCCCATCTGCTACTGTCTGTCCCTTTATTGGTGCATTTAGTCCATTTACATTCAGCGTAATTATTGATAGGTGGAGTTTAGTGCTGTCATTTTGATGTCTTTTTTTGTGTTGTTGACAGTTTCTTTGTTTTACTTAATTTTCTGTGCTGAGTCGTTTTTCTTCATGTATTTTCATCTTTTTCATTGTTGATTTTGTGTTTGCTGAGTCTTTATATTTTTCTAGTTTTTTATTTTGACTTGTAGGAATGTTAGTTTCCTTTGTGGGTACCTTAATATTTTTCCCTATTTTTCTAAGTTTAAACCAGTCTTTTATTTCTTTATATCGCCTTGACGTCCCCTGCATATGAAAAATCTATGTCTACATTTTTTAAGTGCCCATCTTTTATTTTAATGTCGTCATCTTTTACATAGTGACATCAGTTTCCCTGTTTTCAGTGTTTTCGCTTTGATTAACTTTTGTGACTTGCCTGTCTGGGTTGATATCTGGTTGCTCTGTCCTGGGTTCTAGTCTTGGGTTGTTATATGATGTTACTGATTTTCCAACTGGATGACTCCCTTTAGTATTTCTTGTAATTTTGGGTTGGTTTTTGCAAATTCCCTAAATTTCTGTTTGTCTGAAAATGCCCTAATTTTGCCATCGTGTTGAGAGACAGTTTTGCTGGATATATAATTCTTGGCTGGCTGTTTTCTTCCTTCAAGGCTTTATATATGTCATCCCATTGCCTTCTTGCCTGCATGGTTTCTGCTGAGTAGTCCGAGCTTATTCTTCTGTTGACTCTCCTTTGTAGATGACTTTTCGTTTATCCCTAGCCAGTCTTAAAATTCTCTCTTGATCTTTGGTTCTGGCAAGTTTAATTATGTCTTGGTGACTTTCTTTTGGGATCTACCTTATGTGGGGTTTGATGAACCTCTTGGATAGATGTCTTGTCATCTTTCACGGTATGGGGGAAGTTTTCTGCCAACAAATCTTCAACAATTCTCTCTGTATTTTCTGTTATCTGCCCCCCCTCCCCCCTTCTGGTACTCCAGTCACTCTTAGGTTATTCCTCTTGATAGAATCCCACATAATTCTTAGGATTTTTTCATTTTTTTAAATCCTTTTATCTGATTTTTCCTCAAATAAATTGGTGTCAAGTGCTTTATCTTTAGTCTCACTAATTCTGACTTCCATTGCCTCAGTTCTGCTCCTATGACTTTCTATTGAGTCGTCTAATTCTGAAATTTGATTGTTAAGCTTCTGGATTTCTGATTGTTGTCTCTCTGTGGATTCATGCAGTCTGTTCAATTTGTCATTATGCTCTTCCCTAATCTTTTTAATTTCCTCTGTTGTGTGTTCTGCGTTTTGCTTAATTTCCTTCCTAATTTCTTGAAGAATTCTGTATATTAATCTTTTGTATTCTGCCTCCGGTAATTCCAAGAAATTTTCCCTCTCTGGAAAATTTCTAGATTCTTTATTTTGGGAGCTTGCTGAAGCCATCATGGATTTTCTGTTTATGTGATTTGATATTGTCTGTTGTCTCTGAGCCATCAATAAGTTAGTATATTTATTTATTTTATGTTTGCTTACTGTGTCCGAGCTTCTCGTTTTGTTTTGATATGCCCAAATAGGCTACTCATATGAGCTAGTTTGATTATTGGCACCTTTGAAGCTCTAATGTGCTGTCACCAGGTGGTTAGATCTGTTACTAGGTGTGTGAGCTCAGGCATCCGCCCACTCCTCCTGTATGGATTCAGCTCAAGTGCCTGGGTAGATAGCCATGAAGTTTTGGTGTAGGCTCTCATTTACAGTCCTAGACAGGCATGGGTGATTGGTGTAGGCACAGGCATCTGGCTGCAGCAAGGGGACACACTCTGAGCAAGGCCGGGGGCTGACAGCTGCCCCTGAGTGTCCAGGAGGAGGGCATGTCCCTGTTCCATAGAGCACATAGGTGGGTGGGTTGCAGCCAGACTATGAGCAGCTAATGCTGTTGGCTCTAAGGACTGGGGGGCACCTCTTATTCATGGACCCCTCCTGCAGGTGGCGAGGTGGTATGGGTGGAGCCACCAGTCCTCAGGCCCTGATGTGGGTAGGTGAAGACCCTGCTTAATGGGCAGAGCAGTGTCAAATGTCAAGAACCTGCCACTTCACAGCGGAAACAGTTGAAGTTAGACTTCAGGTGTATACCCTGTTGTACTGCGATAATGAGGACCTATGCTGTTGAGATGGGCCCACACAAATCTATGCAGGGAGAAAGGCACTCAAAGTCCATGGATCCCTTATGCCTGTGCATAGGCAAAGGAGCTGTGCCTACTCTGGGTTCTTGGCTTAGGGGAGCCAGCAGTTTATTTTTTCCTCTATTTGTTAATTTGTTTACTCTCCAAGGCAAGGAGAATGGCTCTGGGCATGTGATGGATCCTACTTCTGGCCCAGGGATCTCGGCAATTGCTGAAGCTGGTCTGGGACCCAGTACAAAGCAGGGAGCGAGGTGGTAAATGGGAGAGAGGTTTTTCCCTAAGAGGGGTGTTTTTGATCCACGCTGTAGGCTGTACGCAATTGCTTATTTTTCACCAATCCAGGGCAGCTTCTCGCTGGTTCTGGGTGGCCGTGTAGACTCTCTGGTGCTGGGTCTCTCCCGGCGCGGAAGACGCGCCTCCTGAGCTCCGCCGCTTGCCTGCCTCACTGCTCACCCCCAACCTGATCAGGCCTGAAGGGTCAGGTCTGGCAACTCCTCGCTGCTTCTGAACTGTCTCTCCCTCCCTCTGCCACTCAGTACAGTTCCTCAACTCTGCCTTTGATGTTCAGGGCGCCCAGATAGCCATATATAATCAATTCACTTGTTTTTTTCGGGTCTTTGTTGTAAGAGGGTCCACCAGAAGCATCTGACTACTGCACCATCTTGGCCCCACCCCCCCATTTCCATATTATAGGCTGTAAATACCGTGAAGATCCCTAAGTAATAGATTATCGGTCAGTTGACTCTCCTCTAAATAGTGCTATAAAAATCAGCTGAGGAAAGTTTTGAATCATCATTACCCAATGACTAAAATATTTGGGGAGTCCAAGTGTTTATTAAAAAGTTATTTTAAATCCCCAAATATAATTATTATAGTTAATCATCTCATTAATATGTTGGTCCCAGAAACTAAAATCATTTTCCTCCTCAGTGTTGTTGGGGACCTCTCACCAGGGCGCCTGACCAAAGAGAGGTGGCACTGAGTGCCATATAACTTCAGAAGCATTAGTTGATTTAGCTTAAAAAAAAAAAGGTCATTCAGTAGAGGGAAAGTCACTCCACTGTTCAGTACTGTTAGCCCTGTATAACTTGGAAAATTTTTATCTCATAAAAATAATTACTTGAAGAAGCATCTCAGCCCTAAAGTCACTAACTGGGAAATATTGGGAAATGATGAGGTGTTTGGCATGGAACCCTCAGAAGGGGAGAGAGTTGAGTGGAAACAGCTCCAGCTGACTAGTTGCAGCTGACAACCAACTTTATAAGTTCCAGTCAACCCTGTGGACTAGAAGGTTTAACCACTAGTATAGCTCTGGGCTAGGGCTGATGCCTTTCATGGGGAGAAGATTGATACATACATGTGCAGGAAAGAGTGCCTTAATGTCCAAACCTGAGCTTCTAAAATCGTAGCCACGAGCCACACTTGAACTGTGGTGAGCCCAGATTGAGATGTGTTATAAGTGTATAATATGCACTTGGATTTCTAAGACTTAGTGGGAAAAAAAGAATGTAAAACAGCTCATGAATTTTATTTTTATATTGTTTCATGTTGAAACAATAATATTGTGGCTATACTGGGTTAAATAAAATATATCATTAAATTAATTTCACCTATTTCTTTTTACTTTTTTATGTGGCTACTTAAAATTTTAAATTTCTTATGTGGCTTGCATTATATCTCTACTGGGCAGCGCTAGTCCAGACCATTCTAGCTTTCCTTTCATCTTTAGCCTTAGGCACAAGGTGCTATAAAATTAAGCGTTTTGTTAGCAGTTTTGTTGTTGTTGTTTTCCATCATCTGACAGATTTCTATACAACTCTTTGGACCAACTTTATAGCTAATTTGATTTAAGCGTTTAGGATAGTAGGAAATACCAACTCCAGGGCCTAGTTTTGAGTTTTCTAAATTCAGGTCTCACTAATACGTGGGTCGGTAGCTGCAGATTTCAACTTCCCTTTTCAGTTCTTTAATTGAGATGAAAATTTCTTCCTTTGTAGGTGTACTAAGATCTTGCAGAAAAACACACAGACCCAAGTAAGTACCTTGTTGACTGAGCAGTGTATCATGCATGAGAACAAGAGCAGCCCTGATGGAGAGTGCACATCACTTGGGGAGCTAGAGTCTACTCATCTGTTGGTTCCTTTAGCATAATAAGAGGTAACAATGGCAGATAGACTAACCACAGTTCATTAAGCACTGACCGTGTGTATGGCACTGCTATAGCCACTTTCCATATATCATCTCATTGAACCCTTCCAATGAGCTTGGTGTGGGGGATATTATTACCCCTTGTTTAGAGACAAGGAATCTGAGGCTCAGAGAATTCAAGTAACATCTCAGGATCCCAGTGCTACGTACTAAAGGTCTTGCTTCAAATGGAATTCAAGCAACCCTCCCATGAGGGTTGCTCTGTATCTGCCTTGGCTTTGACGAAAGAGCTATTCACAGTAGAGTAACCAAAAAAGTCAAACCCATTGCCGTTGAGTTGATTCTGACTCATAGCAACCCTATAGGACAGGGTAGAACTGCCCCATAGGGTTTCCAAAGAGTGGCTGGTGGATTCAAACTGCTGACCTTTTGGTTAGCAGCCAAGCCCTTAACCACTACGCTACCAAAGCTCTGGTAGAATAGGAAGGTTAATAAAGACTCTTGGTCTGCAGCACAGATGTACTGCATTTTGCAAGTTATTAATATGGAAGATATTTTTTGCAGCTCCAGTTGATGGATGATAGAAGATGAAAGAGCATGTATGATAACTGAATTATTTAAATGTAAATGGAAAAGATTCAAGCTGGAGAGACTCGTGTCAGACGTAAGAATGCCAGCGTGCATCCCAGGAAACAAAAGGTCAGGATGTAAACCATTTGGGAAGGATGTGTTAAGATGTAAACAACTTGTTCCTGGAAAAAAAAAAAATGGATTCATGACTACAATCATGTTTAACCAAACCAGCTGGCACTGCTCACCCAGGTGGGAACTCTTCCTAGCGAAGTGGCCAACTTTTACATTTGAAACGACTTCAAGCTGAAACTCATCTTTGTTCTCTGCTTATATATACCCCTCTCTCCACTTGAGCTGTATTATACCTCAATAAAACTCCTTCTTTCACTTCTAACATTAGAGATTTCCCTCTTTGACATAAATCACTTTGAAAAGCCATCATACTATTTTAGTATTACATCATCCTTGAAGGAGTTTTGGAAGTCTAGAAATATCAACTAACAAGCATTAGTTTCTACTCACTCACCAGCAGAATATATGACTAAGTACTTAACTTTCCTATTTGGAAAGTAATAGGAATTGACTTGATGGCCACGAAGTATTTACTTTCCCATTTGTAACTGTTTTCATTGGATTGGTGCAGACTTTAGTAAATAAATCTGTATTTGTATATCAGTGGTTTGGCTGTTTTTTTCATGTTAAATTAGAAAAATAAAATAGTCACATACCACAGAAAGTGAAGGCTTTTTAGAATCTATAATCCATTTCTCTTTCATTTTAGAGGAAAAATAATTCATTCTAGGACCAGCAGTGGAATGAGGGAGAAGAAGGACCAAGTGCTTTTGCCTGTTGGTTCCATGGCTGTTGACTGGAGGGGACAGACAGCAAGTGAACATGTGGACCTTTTCTTGTTTCTTTTGTAGAGACCAGATCACCACCATCCAAATGCAGTTGTATTACATGTGTGCGGCATTGAGACGTCTCTCATTAAGATATCTTAACCTACATACACAAATTAGTTTATTGTATTAGTTAGCTGTCACATTGAGAGGTAAACAGTAGAGGACACTAAATTGTAAAGTAACATACGAATACGGAACAGCTGCCCCTCTTGAATAACGAGGCCCATAGCCCCAGTTGCCTCCAGCACCATCACATAAACCCAGGGTCTGCAGAGTCAGCATGCAAAGGCCTTAGCTCCTGAGCCTGTATGACCCCTGGAATTTCCATCCAGTGAGAGTCTTCAGTCTGAAAGAGGAGATATGTGTGTCTTAATTCCAAGGCTGGTGTATGAAGAAGGGGCTCTGTGGCTACATGTGTTCTCAATCAGATGACCTCTCCCCAGCCTCCCCACAACATTCAGCAAGAGTGAGGAAAGGTCCCTGGAGCTCTGAGTAATCGTTGAAAGACCCCCACATCTCCCCACCTCCAGGTGACATAGCTTTCTATAAAAATCTACCTTGAAGACAAACCCCACAGGCTCCAGAGGAAGCCAGCGACTCCCCAGATACCCTTCATCTTCCAGACTTTTGTCCGTATTTAGCTCTGCATGTCCTCCTTTCTGACCCCATCCACCAATAGCAGTATTCCCAATATCCTCAACCTCTTCCATGAATGTCCCTTTCCCCTGTCTGCTGTAACTGAAACCCAGCTCTCTCCAAGGATGCTGCTTCGCGCAGCCCTCTCAAGGAGTAGCTGTTTTCTATCCTACGTCTTTGTATGCTGGGCCAACAGGGAGGGAAGGTGTCCTTCTTGCTTCTTCCTGTTTCCAGACCATTACTTCTCCTTCAGCTTCGATGCTTACACCAGCAGATCATCACCACCAGCATCCGCTTTTCTGGTTATCTTTGTTATTTCTCATCCCTTAAATATTTTAGAGGACTCACTCAAATCACTAACACTACTTCCTTCTTGATTTCTGAGTCCTTTCAAAATCTACAAATCCAGTACTCTGGCATGGTCTCTGTTATGGATTGAATTGTGTACCTCAAAATATTTGTTGAAGTCCTAACACCTATACCTGTTTTGCAAATAGTGTCTTTGAAGATGTTCACATGAGGTGATACCAGAGTACTTGCTGCCTTTGGGTCAATTCCAACTCATAGCGACCCTATAGGACAGAGTAGAACTGCCTCACAGGGTTTCCAAGGAGCGGCTGGGAGATTCAAACTGCTGACCTTTTGGTTAGGAGCTGTAGCTCTTAACCACTGCACACCAGGGCTCCAATACTGGAGTAGGTGGGTAGGTGGGTCCCAACCCCATCTGAGTGGTGTCATATAAACAAGAACAGACACAGGGAAACCAGCCATGTGACAATGAAGTTATGTTGCATCTACACGCCAAGGAATGCCTGGGGCTACCAGAAGCTGGGAGAGACAAAAAAGGATCTTCCCCTAGAGCCTTCAGAGAGAACATGGCTCTGCCAACAGCCTAAATTCAGACTAGTAGCCTTCAGAACTGTGAGACAGTAAATTTATTTTCTCATAAGCCACCCAATTTGTGGTATTTTGCTATGGCAGCACTAGGAAATGGATACGGTCTCCTCCAAGGACCTTGTCTCCACCCTTTCTCAGCTAGCTCCTTCTGTGATCCTAAAAACCAAACCTGTTGCCATTGAATCGATTCTGACTCATAGTGACCCTATAGGACAGAGCAGAACTGCCCCATAGAGTTTCCAAGGAGTGGCTGGTGGATTTGAACTGCCTACCTTTTGTTTAGCAGCCAAACACCTAACCACAGCACCACCAGGGCTCCTCTGATCCTACTCATGGCCTTTCCATTACCGCTACCTGCACCCCCTCCATAGTCTCAGTTACAAGCATCCTCTTCTTCAGCCTTCACTTCCTAGCTTCTCATCACTCCCTTGAGGGACCCAACTCCAAAAATTCAATCCCACCAGAACTTAAAAGCCAATGATTCTACCAACTTTTCACTGGCCCTCAACTCCTTCTCAACTTCTTAACCTGGTTTAGATTCCATGGCTCATCATTATCGTTACTCTCTCACCTTCACTCTCTTGCCCTCTCAATGGTTCATTCTTGCTTGGGCAAATCCCAGCTATGGTTGTAGTCAGCTCTACCAGTTCCCTTCCTGCACCTGGGCTGCTAAACATGCCTGGAGAAAAATATACCACAAGGCGGATTTGGTTTCACATCAGTGATCACAAACGTCTCATATGGTTCCTTAGTGTTTCCCAGTGAATTGCCCTGGTCCATTCACCTTCTCACTCTCCTGGGAAGCTATTTCACACCTCCTCTCAGACCTCCAACTGATAACTATGGATAAACTCCATTCTCTCCATTTGTGCGCAGGATCCCACCTCCTCTCATTACTCCTGTCATTGTCTCCTGTATCATCAGTTTTTACCTTTGTACTGGACCATACAAACATAGTGTCATTTCTCTCACTAGAAAAAAAAAAAAACTTGATTCCACCACCTCACAACCCCATTCAGCACCAAATATTATGCTGAGCTCTGCCTTCTTCTAGACTCTTAAGGCTGGAGGGGTCTTCAGAGATCTCTTTGGATGAGAAAACCTAGAGGGTGACTGGACTGAAGTATCATAGCTAATTCAGAGGAAGGAACAGAAGGAGGAACGCCAGTATCCTGACCTCTGCTCCAGTGCTCTTTCCACAATACGAGGGTGCTTCCCAACAACCACCCTTAGTTTTTAAAAACCACCTGCTAAGTGTCAGATGCATTAGCCTGTGGAAACATGGCACTATCTACTAGAGCCTTATATAGGAGGCTTGGCTACAGCTTGTGGTGCTGCCAGTGTTGGCTTCGCCAGTTCCTCTCGGTCAGTGTGGGTGTGGTCGACAGTGACAGAAAAGAGAACCAAAATGAGCAAATCTGTGGTTTGCCCGAGCTTCCTGTGATGCAGTCTGACTACGAGGGAATAAGAAAAGAGTCCTTCCTCTCTCCTCAGGCTCTTCTCAATCTCAACATTCCCTGCTTTCTCCCCATATTAGTTTCCCAGGTCTGCTGTAACAAAGGACTACAAATTGGGTGGCTTATAAGAACAGAAATTTATTGTCTTACAGTTTTGGGAGTTGGAACTCCCAAATCAGGGCATGAGTAGGAGCCATTCTCTCATTGTCCACTCTAGGGAAAGATCCTTGTTTCTTCTAGCTTCTGGTAGCTCCAGGTGTTCCTTAGCATTTCTAGACTTGTAGATGGATCTTCATCTTCACATGGAGGTCTTCCCCCTGTCTCTCTGTGTCACTTCTCTTTTGTAAAGATAACACTCAGGATTAGGACACACCCTACTCTCGTATGACCTCCTGTTAACTGATAACATCTTCAGAGACTCTGTTTCCAAACCAGGTCACATTCACAGATACCAGGGGTAAGACTTCAACACATCTTTTGAAGGACAGTTCAATCCAAAATATTCCCCTCAGTTTCAAGATCCTTCCATACAAAGGAAAACTAGTTCTGTAGTGGAGTAGGCCTATGTGGCTTGATCATGGAGAAGCCTCCCTATCAAGACCATCTCCCTCACCTGCCTCCTGAAATCTTCACCCGTTTCACTTCTTTGAATGAAGCAATTTAGGCCACAAAAGTTACAAAAGCCTGTATGAGACCACTACTATAAATACTCATGAAAAGGTTTACACACAAAAAGAAACTATCTTTGATGATTACGAGGGAGGGGAAGTGTGGAAGAGAAAAACACTAAATAGACAATAGAGAAGTGGTAACTTTCGTTAAGAGTAAGAGAGTACACAATACTGGGAAAGCCAGCACAACTTGTCCAAGGCAAGGTCATGGAAACTCCATAGACATATCACCTGAGGGACCAAATTACTGGGCTGAGGGCTGGGGACCATAATCTTGGGGGGCATCTAGCTCAATTGGCATAACATAGTTTATAAAGAAAATGTTATATATTCCACTTTGGTGAATAGTGTCTGGGGTCTTACAAGCTTGTGAGAGGCCATCTAAGATCCTCCATGGGTCTCACCTCGCCTGGAGCAAGGGAGAAAGAAGAAAACCAAAGACACAAGGGAAAGATTAGTCTAAAGGACTAATGGACCACAACTACCACAGCCTCCACCAGACTGAGTCCAGCACAACTAGATGTGCCCAGCTCCCACACCAACTGTTCTGACAGAGATCACAATAGACGGTCCCAGACAGAGCTGCGGGAAAATGTAGAACAGAATTCTAACTCACACACACACAGAAAAGA